TTTTTTGTATGACTTTCGTATAATCGTACAAGATCATATAAGATCAGATCCATGATCTTGTCAGATCTTACAATATGATTGTTTGTCCTGGGAGGAAACTACCCAGGCCGAGAAATCGGATAGTAAGATCAATCATAGATTCTTGTATGATCGTACCATATCTAAGTCCAATATTGTACATGATCATATCAGATCATATGAAAAATCCTACGAAAAATCATAGTTCATGAAATCTTACGTCAGTTCTTACACTAAGGTCCGTATATAAACCAACAATACGATATTCTATGATCATATAAGACCATACAGTAAGATTACAACAGATTTATTTGAGCTACGTTGTATTGATATATTTGAATCTTGACACCTTAAATACAATTAAACTTGACTTCACATCTTAAAGAAAATTTTTATTTGTAAAGATATTCATCTGTACATAATTTGGAAGTCACTGTTAAACAGTAAAATCAATAAAACAATAGCAACATGCAAAGATAATAGAAAAAAGATATTTCCGATCTACAAACGATGAATACAACAATAACAATAATTTACGAAAAATATTAAAGAAGTCAAGTTCTCTTCCTTCATAAATCTCCTAAATGATAACAACAACATCTCTATCTTAGGAGCAGTTAGCACACACTATTCTAATTACAATAACAACGATAAACAGAACAGAAAAAAAAGCAAAAAATCCAAAAAGCATAAACCAATATCTTTCATACAGAAAAAAACTCAAATAAAAATTGAAAATAGCTTAACGACATTTAAAAACATATTTACAGTAAAAGAATGCAATCCAAAAATTTCAAAAAATAGCACCAATACATAAATATAATCACAAACAAAAGCCAACTATAACATATAATCTAAATGAAAAACCAAAATTTTTCATAATTCTGATTGCTTCTGAAAAACATCACCTGATTCTTTCAAAAAAATATTACCTTTCAATCGAGAATGTTTGCATTTTCACCCGAGTCCCGCGAATGAACACCAAGAAGCAATGATATGCCACGTGCTGATTCAGTATTACCGGCAATAAGTACACCAGATGTTCAACCAGCAGCAATATGACCACCGATATTGTTCATAGATCGCCTGAGTATATGATGAGTGTCGACCGACAGTTGCGCCAAAGTACGATGAAGACATATCCGAAAGAAATCATTAAAGCGAAGAGAATCAATTTTGAATCTTGTACCAACCGCTTCTGAAAAAAAAACAAATCATGGTAAAAGAAAAAACACTTCTTCAACAACAAAACATGTACCTTCCAGAAAATTCTAATATAGAACTTATCGCGAAAATAACAAAACCACAAACGAATCAATACACATCAATACCATATACATATAGACATAAAAACCTCTATATGTCCAACCATATAAAAAAAAGGAAAAAACAACGATGAAATAGTCATCTATATTATTAACACAAAGATATACAAAAGACTATATGTGCAAGCATAAAATAAACAAAAAAACGAACAAATAGTCATCTATATTATCCACATAGATATACAGAAAAGTCTATATGTCCAAGCAAATCGAAAAACGAAAAAGAGAAGAAACATACATCTCTATTATCAATATGGAAGCGACTATGTACACCTAGGTGCACATAGCCACATGGCTATGTGCACTCAGAAAGATTAAATCAATTATTTGCTAAATCTCAAGCTATATATGAACATCTATGTACTTAATTATTAACAAGTAGCGCTCATCGAGATTCGATTCGCTTGGTCGTAGACTGAGGTTATGGCCTAGAACCGAAAATTCACCTCTGTCCGTCAGTCTCTCTGTAAAACAGTAACCACATGGTAACTATGGTCCCAATGACTACTGACAAGGTCTGAGAGATCATGGATGTATTCCGAACGAGCAAGAAATGGCATAAATGGCCACAAATATGGTACGTGGTCACATGTATGGCCCATCTGACAACAAGTATGCTGGACACAATCGTATCTGTAGTCTGTTGAACCTTATCTATCATCATTCAAACCATATTTGTGTGATACCAATGGTTAATTGGATCGTGTTTGTGACCAATTAGAGTATCTTCGTGGTCAATTAGATCATATTTTTGTTACCTGTGCCATAGTTAACGCTATTTCATGCAGATTTACCGTCACTTTCACTGAACTTGTGACCATTTTTACCATTTCGTCATTCGTACTATCTCTATGGTCATTAACCATATAAATGGTTCGAGCAATCAAAACATGGTCTAAGCAACCACAACAATGATTCAAGGTACCCAAACGATGGTCCCAATGACCATACCCTCGGCCACTTGTACCACCTTTGTGGTCACTTTCACCACGTCTGTGATCATGTGTACCAACCCTACGGTCACTTTTACCATTGGTATGATCACTAATACCGCGGCTATGGTCGTTTGTATCATCGACATGGTCACCTGTGTCATCGATATGCTCATTCGTACCATGGTTAGGGTCACTTTTACCGTTGCTGTGGTCATTTGTACTATCTTTGTGGTCACCTATACCATAGTTGTGGTCACTATTATGATGGCTATGGTTATTTGTACCTTCGACATGGTCACTTGTACCATCGATACAATCATTCGTACCATGGTTATGGTCATTTGTACCATCTTTGTAGTATCTTGTACCATGGCTATGGTCATTTGTACCATTGCTAATGTCATTTGTACCATCTTTATGATCACCAGAACCATGGCTTTGATCACTTGTACTAACTTTGTGGCTGCCTGTACCATGATTGTGCTCACTTGTACCATGGCTATAGTAGTTTGTACCGTCGGCATGGTCATCTATACCACTGGCTTGGTCACTTGTAACATTGATATGGTCATTCGTGCCACGGTTGTGGTCCGTTTTATCATTGCTATAGTCATTTCTACCATATTTGTGATCACCTGGCCTATGGCTACGGTCACTTGCACCAACTTTATGGTCGCTTGTACCATGGTTGTAGTCAGCGGTATCATCGTTGTGATCATTTCTACCGTGGCTATGATGATTTGTACCATTGCCTTGGTCATTTGTACGATGACTATGGCCATTTGTACCATTGTTATGATCACTCGTATCAGCATTGTGGTCACTTGTATCACATGTTGCAGACAAACAGACACAGGTGAATTTCCGTTTCTAGACCCAATCCCTTCAGTCTAGGAATAGAAATGGTCATTTGAGCCATAATTACGGTCATTTGTACCATAGAAATGGTCATTTGTGCCATACTCATGCACGGTCACTTATGCTATATAAATGATCATGTGTACCATATAAATGGTTATTTGAGGCATAGTTACAGTCATTTGTATCATATAAATGGTCATTTGTGCCATATAAATGGTCATTTGAGCCATAGTTGCGGTGATTTGCACCATAGAAATGGTCCTTTGTGCCATAGAAATTGTCATTTGTGCCACAGATATGGTCATTTGTGCCAAGGTCATGCTTCAGACAGACAGACGCAGGTGAATTACGGTTTGTAGACTCTATCCTTTCAGTCTATGGAACTTGTACCATCGGTGTGGTCATTTGCACCATTGGTATTGTCACTTGTACCATTGGTATGGTCATTTGTACCATCACTATGGCCACTTGTACCATCGTTATGGTCACTTCTACTATCGCTATGGTCACTTGTACCATCCTTATGGTCATTTGTACCATCAGTGTGGTCACTTGTACCATCCGTATGATCATTTGTACCACCACTATGGTCACTTGTATCACATGTTGCACACAGACAGACAGACAGACACAGGTGAATTTCCGTTTATAGACCCTATCCTTTCAGTCTAGGGAACAACTATAGGACTTTGTACCATGAAAAAAGTCGTTTGCACCTTGACTATAGTACTTTATACAATGAAAATGGTCATTTGTACCACGACTCTGGTACTTTGTACCACGGCAATGGTCATTTGTACCATACAAAGTGGTCATTTGTACCAGGTGTTACAGACAGACAGACAGACAGACACACACAGGTGAATTTCGGTTTCTAGACCCTATCCTTTCAGTCTAGGGGACATAAATAGAATATTGAAACTTATTTTTAATATTGTTTCATACATCATTTATCACAATTAAATAAATTACAACTCAAGTTTTACAATAAAATATTTAAAGAAAAAAAAACTAATATTAATCAAGTACACAAATAAAATTTGACAGTAAAATACACATTCAAAAAAACTAATATTGTATAGGTATACAAATCAATTATAACAAGCAAAAATAAATAAATAATCTATTTTAAATGGAGTTCAACTAATTTATAATTGTTTCTAGTACTTCCTCTTTTCAGTCTCGCAAGAAAGCATTGTATTTCATTATTTTCAATACAATTACCATAATGATTACGTAAAGATTTCTGATCATAAAATAGAGATGATGGAATATCTTTATAACAAAGAGACGTTACAAAAGCTAATGCGAATAATCCACAATCATTACCACCAACTTGTTGCTCTACATTTTCAAATGATAAAACAACTTTTTCTTCACCAGGTAATATATCTTGAAAAAATTTAACTAATGATTCTTTTGGATAAGATAGAGAATCATAAATTTTCCAAATATTATCAGAGTCTAAATTTGCAACTGTGAACCAATGATTGTTGTTTGCATTGAAAATAAAGATCGAATTTTCCAATGAACCTGTGTATAAGTGTATTTGCACAGGGCCACATAAACCATTAATATTTGGAAATTGTTTATGTAATAATTCAAAGAATAAAGATATATGTAAGTCGGTTAGCCAAATCGTATTATCGTACACATCACGAACTGATTCCACTTTTTTATTACGTTTATGTTTATATATTTTAAGATCGGATGAAACTTTATTATAAGTTTTTTTATGTTTTTATCTTGAACGATTTTGTTGTCTTTTTGCTTATAAGAAACCAACGATATCTTACCACGTGGTCGACCTGGAGGATTAATAACTGGTGAATAACTTTAAACAAAGTTTCGTTTTGATGATGATTGATCTTGTTCATCTTTTATTGCTTCTTCTTGTTTTAGTTCTAAATTTGGTAAAGCTTCTTCAGGTTCATTACATAAGTTTATTTTATGTTCTTGTTTCAGTGCGTCTAGGTTGATACTCAATTCTTGTTGTTTTTCAACTTTTTCTTCATCGTTAAATATTGCTTCTTTTTCTGGTGATTCTTGTTTTATATTATCATGTGAATCTATACCAATTTCTCATTCTGTTTCATAATCCGATTGCTATCTGTCTTTTTTTTTCACATTGATTGCATAACTGTACAATTCTTTATGTTTATTTATATTGATTAAATCTAGAACAACATTCAGAAAATTAACATGGTCACGAAATTCGTCGGTTCCGTATTGAGTTATACGAGCTGTCAAGAGATCCAAAATTGATTTTAAGATGTTATACTTGTCATTACTACTTAAAACATTCGTTCTTTTAGATGCTATTTGTGTTATTTTGCATTGTGAATCGAAGCTTCATTTACCATCATAATATACAATCTCGTTTAGATAATGATCAACTGTAGATTTTAATCATCGTGTATTAATTGATATCATTTCTTGAATTGTCTTCGATTGATCAAATATGTCCTTATTCAATCTGTCAAGAAAAAATATTATATGTCGACACGGTAATTAATTCTGTAAAAAAAATCGCAATCGCAAAACAATAGATCTTTGTATGAATCACGATGAATGATGCTTGAAGTTATAAAACGATTTTTTTCTTCATCTTTTGACCGATTTTCCATTTATTATTCTCCAGTTCTTCCATGAAATAATGTTTTTGTTTTAATTCATCATTTTGTTTACGCAATAAATCGATTGTTTTGTTTGTTAGTTGAGAACCAATTCATTGAACCAATATTGAATCATTACCATTACAAATCCTTTGTTTCAAGTTTATATATGTATTCATTCCTTCAACTCTGGCGTCCTCCGCTGCTATTATTAATTATTGTACTCATTCCGATATGTGCATCTTTGGTAATATATGATCCTTTAAAGTTCGATTAAATTGTTCCAAGCGATTATTAGTATCTGTATCAAAGTTGAAGAGATTTTTCCTGTACTTGGTTTGCCACATTTCACAACAAGACAGCCAATTTAGTTCAAAATATTGATAAAAGTCAGTTCCTTCTGATTCAGTTTTAATTTCTTTCAAATAAATCGCCGACATTTGATCATTATCGTAAAGAAGCCTACGAATATTTTTCATAATATTCATTCGGTTTGGTAATGGTATTTTAAGTTCATGAACTCGTACTTTTAAATATTTTAGAACGTGAAAAACACAGAGTAATATTCATGCTTTGTAAAAATAATGTTGTAAAATATCGATGTTTGTTAAATCTTTATCAACCATGGCAACTTGGGTTTGTTGTAAATCGTTATGGTCACACATTGAAGAGTAAAAAATTCTAAATTGTCTTTATTTCCAGTGGTCATTAAACAATAGGCAACAGGCACTCCTTTTAAATTTGCA